CCCCTGACGGCGGCGCCGAGCGCAGGCTCCGGCACGAGCGGCCCAGGCCCGCAGCGGCGCACGCGGCGCCACCGCACCATCTTCAGCGAGGAGCAGCTGCAGGCACTCGAGGCCCTCTTCGTGCAGAACCAGTATCCCGACGTGGGCACGCGGGAGCGCTTGGCTGTCCGCATCCGCCTGCGAGAGGAGCGCGTGGAGGTGGGTGTCCGCCCCGCAGCCCGGAGGGCACTCCCGCGTCACTCCTCTCTTTCCAAGACCGGCCTTCCAGAGGGTGCCTCACCTCACAGCCCTCCACGCTGGAGGGAAACCCCCCAGGATCAGTGGATGGGGGCGCAGGACCAGCTCCCCCAGCAGGTTCTTTGAGTGTCGCCGGAACTGGAAGGGGTTAAGAGTCGTGTTCTCTGACTTCGTCTGTCTTCCCCTTTCCCCTGCTGATGAAAGATGCTTTCATTCATGTCCCAGATGTAGGCAAGTTAAGAAATGTGCAAAACGAGCCAGGCACGGCGGCACACGTCTGTAATTCTAACACTCGGAGAGGTGGAAACAGGAGGATCATGAATTCATCAGTCTTCCGTGACAGATAGCGACTCAGAAGCCAGCCTAGATTACATGGGACTACGAAACAAGTGGAGACAGAGAGAGAGATCCTGCTTGCTAGTGGGCCAAGACGGAGGAGACTAGGAAATCTCCGTGTAGGGAGTCTAGGTCCTTTTCTGTGTGTGGGTAAGGGAAGTGACGCAGGTCCATTCACCTACACCTCTGTGTGAAGCCCACCACCCCGCTCACCTGCCAGCCCTTCCGAAGTTCTTTGGGTGTGGGCCCTGAGCTGTCTGGGTGCCTCTCCTCCTCAGGTCTGGTTCAAGAACCGCCGGGCCAAGTGGCGACACCAGAAGCGTGCTTCCTCAGCGAGGCTCCTGCCTGGGACCAAGAAACCTCCCAAGGACGGCTGTTGACGTGTCTGGAGTGTCTCCTCGTTTTGGCAGTGACGTGGAGCACAAGAAAGTAGGAGGGAGACAGACCTACTTGGACAGAAACTACGAGAGGACCGCAGTCTTCCAGCTGCCCAGTGCTGAGAGAGAGGGAATCCAAGACCTCCTCACCTATGAAGGGAGGGCGCAGGAGGCAGGAACCAGAGATCTCCTGCAGGTAAAGAGCAGGTCAGCTTCCTCAGGCACCATTACTGCCTAAAGAGGCCCTAACTCCACCAGGGCCCCAAATCCCCTCCAGTGGAGTCTCCCTCCCACCTCCTGCCGGCCTCCAGGACTGGCCCCGTATCTCTTCTTCCACCTTCTGAGCCAGGCAGTGGCATAGGCACAGGCCCTCCAAGGTCTAGCACTGGACCTTGGTGTCAGGACCTGTGGAATAAGAAGGTTGGTATTTTCCAGATCCCTGAACCTGCTCCTTCATCTCAGCCTTGTGCTGATACCAAGAAATAAACAAGATCTACAAATTCCACAAAGGAGTCAGAATCCCAACTCCACATGCCTCAGGCTTCATTTCCACACCTATGGAGGCGCTGGCTCCCCTCCCCCTTTCCAGGGAACTGGGGGGTCATCACGTCTTAGAGAGGCCAGTTCAACAGGTCTTCATCCCAGTCCTGTTTCCCCCATCAGGATTAAAGCCAGTGGATGGTGGCAAGGCCTCCTGGGATTTGCTATGGCCTCTAAGTGCTACCAACCTGCTTCACAGGTGGGAGACCTTTGGCTTCTCGTCCTTGGAGGTTTCCATACAGTGGCATCTGCCAATAGGGCAGGCAAGAGGAGATTACATTCAGGGAACATCCCACCCCCACCATCTTGGGAGATTTTGTCTTCCCTTCTATAGTCCTGGTCACACAGAAGTGTGTGTGGGGGGGGGGGGGTAACACCACAGCATGAAAGCATGCCTTCCATTCCCTGATGATCTGTGCACTCGGCTGGAGGCAGCTAACACCCCTGCACCTGGCCTGATCTCCTTACTCTGTCTCCTCACAGGTCCTGGTGTGGTGATACCTGTGAGAAATGTGGTCCATCCATGAAAGCTAAACTGTAGAGCCAATGGCAGGAGGTCTTGGCACTGTGTAAAGATGGCTGGTTTGGAGAACACTGAGCAGGCATAGATCCCCAGCCAGAGCTGACCTAACACTGCTAGAGACATCCAGGATTGGGGGTTCTCCTCCCCGGTCCCTTGGATGCACATGTGAGGCGCCACCAGACTCTTCTTCCCGAACTTTGGCCTTGCCTTCGAAGACCGCACTGTCTCCTTTGGACGCAGCTGTCCAGGAGGTCAGCTCAGCTGCAGCCTTGGCATTCACACTGTGCTGGGTTCCAGGCCCCTGACCTCCTCGGTTCTCCAGAATCCGAGCTCACCTGAGCCTCTACCCTCCCCCCACCGTCACTGTCCCCAGCAGGGGCTCCTGGCAGCCCTCACCTGACACCTGGCATTAGCAAGTGTCCAGAGGCTCCCTTCCAAGGCCTCTCCATCTCCATTCTCTTCTTTGAAAAACAATCAGTGTGTGTGTGTGTGTGTGTGTGTGTGTGTGTGTGTGTGTGTGTGTGTGCGCTGCCTGCATGTGTGCATGTGCACCACATGTTTGCCTACTGCTGCTGGTGGAGATCAGAAGAGGGTATTGGAACCCCTGGAACTGCAGTTATGTGGGTACTGGGAACTGAACCCAGATCATCCGGAAGAGCAACAAGTGCTTTTAAAGGATGAGCTATCTCCCCACCCCCTCCACTCTCTTCTTGTGTCTTTTCCATCCTTGAGCCCCAATTCCCACCTCTTTGTCGCATATATTTCCATCTCCAGTGCAGGCCCTCCCCTGACAACACTTGGAAACCCACAGCCTCCTCACATCTGCCTTGTATTCAGTGAGCCATTGGCCTTGTTTAAGACACATGAGTCACGGAGTTCTTGATCACCAGTTGCCCTCTGTCCCGCACCTGATCACACCAGGCCCATCCAGTTTCACCTCCAAATGTGTCGGTAAACCCCACTGAAACTAGCTTCTCTGCACTTGAGCTTGGTTAACCTGACGAACACTGCTGGCACCTTGCACCGTGACCATCGCGGCTTTCTCTAGTTATGTTCACCGGAACCACTCAGCCTCCCTTTAATCCAAAATAAAAATAGTATTTCTTGCCAGGACCCCAAAGATGCTGTGAGCCTGGCTCTGCCCCCCACCCCCCATCACTGCACTGTGTAACCAAAGGCCTGCGTTGGAATTGCCTTGCTCCGTGCTGGGCCTTTGCATGTCTTTCTAGTTCCACTTGACTGACGCCTATCCGTTCCTCTTTGGATCTATGACCACGATCTGCCTGGAAAATGCCACTTGATATGTGCTGTGTAGAAGTCACGATTCTCTGAGTACAGACTTCTTGCAAGTCACAGGCGTGATTACACATTTGCAGGATGACTTAATGTGTATGTTTCTCTATTATTATGGTCAACGCTATGGGGGCGGGGAAAGAGTCATAAAGTCCCCAGTGACTCCCAGTGAAGGAAGAGACCATTGGAAAAGCAAAATTGTACCAAATCATTGTGGGTTGGAACTTGTTTGTTTGGGGTACTTCACCGTCTCCCTTACGATGGAAGTCCCGTGAATGCTTTCAGTGAGTGCAGGCCTCTTTTGGGAGCCCACCCCGGCAGGTGGGGAACTAATAAATCTAACCAGAGATTTAAGCGCCCTCCGGTTCGTTCTTTTCATTTACCTTTTGTTAGATAACTATCTGGGAAGAGTTAGTTGTCTTAGTGTTCTTTCTCTGAGTTTTGAAGTTATATATGACGAAGTTTTTTTTTTATTTTTGAAGTATTTAAAAAAGACTTTGAAGCATTTGCAGTGGTTTTTTGTTGTTTTTGGTTTTTTGAGAGAAAAAAATGGAACTTCTAACAGAGGGAATGTGGCGTCAAATAGTCGTCCCACAGCGCCCCCTAGTGACCTTAGTCTAGACAGGCACGAGCAACGCGGGTGGGGACCAAAGACTACAACTCCCTTAAGATCCGGCGCCCCGATGACGTCATCGGGAGCGCCGGCTTTGTTACAAAAATACTGCTTCTCCATTGGCTGGCTGTCGGTGCGGTGCCTACGGCGCCCGAGCGGCTCTGGGATAGCGATGGGGACGCCCGGGGCCCCGGCGGGTTCTCTGTTTGTGCCCTCCGCGTCCGCGCCCCCGAGGAAGCGCGCGGCCGGGGAGACCGGGGTTGCGAGAAGCAAGCAGCGGGTCCTGGATGAAGAAGAGTACATCGAGGTACCAGCTCGGCGAGCGCTGGCGACTTCCGGGCCCCTCCCCCGGTCCGCGATCTTCTCCAGTCCTTTGATTTTTGTTCTGGTCTGGGAGCTCTCGGCCGCCTGTGGAAGCGGAACAACTGCCTTTGGGTTTGGGAAGTCTTGAGAGCCAAGAAAACAGTGCAGAAGCGGGTGTCCAGTTTTCACCGAAAAGGAGCGGTCCTGCCGTCTGTCGAGGGGCAAGGGGAAAGTTTCCAAATTGAAATATGGGTAGAATTTTGACACGTTTTTAGGATGATGGCGGAGCGACATTAAGTGTAAAGGCTGGAGGTCCTGGAAATAGGTACTGGCCGTGTTATTGAGTGAGGGTCTCTGTTGCTCCTCGAGTTAGGGGTCCCACTGCAAACATGCTGGAGGGCAAGCTGACATAGGTCTGGATTTAGACTAGTTAAATTATGCTGGCATGTACCTTCGCCACGCCGCTGGGTATAGAGATTTGCAGATCCACAGCAAGGTCTGGCTGAAGGTGAAATCTTGGGAATTTCATCTGGTGGTGGCGTTAGTGGTGACTGGCTTTCAAGAGAAAGGTTTGAATTGAAGTAAGACTTCATGGATGGAATGAGGATGGCAATATCCACATTAGTCTGACTGGTGTTGTAGAAGGAGCCATCAAAGGAGAATGAAAAAGACCAGTTAGTGAAGGATTTTATAGGCATCAAGAGATTGTTGAGTATTGTTAGATAATACATCAGAGCCATATGGGATGAGCAGCCATACTAGAAAATGCTTCTAAACTATCTTGCAGACCGCAATCATCCAGATAGGCAGAGGTGAAAGGACCTTAGGGCCTAACATGGATAACGGTGGACTGTGAGTTGTGGCTCCCAGATGCCAGCTTTGGCCTTTGTTCTGACTGCTTATGATAGGGACTCCAGACAGTCATCCAGAGAGATTTCTTCCCCGATGTGGAGAAACTACAGGCACAGAAGGAATACCTGGAGGCTGAGGAAAATGGAGATTTGGAGCGCATGCGCCAGATTGCCATCAAATTTGGCTCTGCCCTGGGCAAGATATCTCGGGAACCTCCACCACCCTGTAAGAGGATGCCGTTACAGAGGGCAGAGAGGGGAAGTCTATTGTCACTTTGGACTCGATCTAATTTCTAACTTGCTTCCCTCAGATGTTACTCCAGCCACCTTTGAAACTCCTGAGGTTCATCCAGGCTCTGGTGTGGTGGGCAGCAAGCCCCGGCCCCAGGGCCGGGACCTAGAGGATGGTGAGTGAACTCATTCTGTAGGTCTCATGGTCAAGAGTGCTGGGGAGTCATGTTGAGTTTTCTCAGAATCACATTTCATCCTTGAGGGGTCTCCTGACCTAAATATCAACTTGTGGGATCAAAGACACTGGTGTGGGAAGTGGAAGATTCTCCAACCTCATTGTGGAGGAGCAGTGGTCACCAGCCTGTTGGGTGTGCCAGCCTTTGCCTTGGAGACTTTGTGGGCTTGGGGGGCTCTCTCATTACTGACTGCTGAAGATGCCCTTTCTTCCTTTCTTCCACACCGGTTGCTTGTTGTGTCTCTTCCTTCAGGTCCGTGTTCAGGTGTGACCTGTTTGGGCTGAGAGGCAGGAACTTGTGTGGAGGTTATGGTGATGTTACGTTGAGGTTCCTGGCCTTTTGTATAAAGTTGGCACACCCTGGGGCTCTGTGCCGCACAGACTGCCTTTGTTTTTCTGATTTGTTTGTTCTGTTGAGACCAGAGTCTCATTGTTTCCCTGCATTGTTGGCTTTGTGTTTCACTGCAGGATATAGCATTTTGGAAAGCATTTCTGTTTATTGCCTCTCACCCTAATCACTAATTCCAATGCCTCCCAGAGAGCGGGGTCTTGGTCTTGCTTCCATCTGTGTGCTCCACATTTAGCATTAGCATATGGTATGCTACACTATCTACAGACATGTAGAGCAGATGAATGTGTTGTCTTAAACATGTTTCCTGAACATCAGATATAACTATGGGATGTATCTTAAAGTGAGGAGGAACACTTTATGAATCTATTGAATATGTGAGTGTACCATATACTAAGGGACTTGTCTGGGTCAGTTCATCTTTTTATCAATAATTGGATATATCCTAGAGGTGGGCAAGATGTTTTCTCTACCAAACTCTAGTCTGCTGCATACTATACTAGGGCATATGTACAACATGCTCACACAAGTGTAGTTTCTCAACAGCCCAGCTTTTTCTGCCATGAACACAGTAAGAGTTACTCTTGGAGCTTGAACTCTTGAATGAAATACGATAGAATCAAGGCAATTTGAAGATGCTCTTCTTTTTATACACATACATTTTATCAGTAAATATTGGAGTTCTTGTAATTACAAATAAGGAAACAGGCTTCAAAAGGCTGCAACTTCTGTAGGTGTCAGAAATAGTCAACAGTTGAAGGAACCGGGTCTGCCCCTTCCTAACCCCAGGTCTTGAACTTGTAGCCACTGTGTTTGGCATTGGCTGGCACACAGGTAGTGGTCAAGACTGTCAGTAGAATGGATGAGAAACCTCAGCTTCACATGCCCCCGAGATCTCCAGTGCTACCTCAGCGGGAGTACCACTGGCCTTGGTGGCAGGGATCGAGATGCTTCTGTGGCCCAGAGTCTGTGTGGCCCTCCCTGGAGCGCTGGGCCATGTGGGCTCCTGCCTTAGGAGTTAACTGGCATACCCTGATGCATAGTGGCTATCACTCACCTGCAGCACCAGTCAGGAAGGGAAAGTTGGTAGGGTAAGGCAACATCCCCAGGGAGGGAAGAAGAGCCCCTGGGACTTTGAAGGTCAGTCCTACAAACTTAGAACAGTTGGCAGAGGAAGAGCCTGTCACCACGAGCTCTCGCTTGTCCCTGCCCCTTCACCAGTCAGCCAGACCACAGACTTCTCTCGGCAGCCAGTCACTGAGGATGCCACCTGGACAGTCGGGGTGTCTTGTGTCATCTGGCAGGAGCAAGGATTACAGAGTGGTAATCGTGCTGTGTGTGGTGTTGTGTGCCCCCCGAGCAGGAGAGGCTGGAGAGGAGGAGGAGAAGGAGCCGCTGCCCAGCCTGGATGTCTTCTTGAGCCGCTATACAAGTGAGGACAATGCCTCCTTCCAGGAGATCATGGAGGTGGCCAAGGAAAAAAGCCACGCCCGCCATGCGTGGCTCTACCAAGCTGAGGAGGAATTTGAGAAGGTAGCCCTGGAGTCTGAAGACATGGGCACCATCTTTGGGGATGGAGCCCCAGGGCCGCAGGTACAAAGTCTGGGCGCCTGCCTGACCCTCCTCTCCCCCCTGTCACCATAGCGACAGAAAGATAATCTTGAACTCCCATCGGCAGAGCACCAGGCCATTGAGAGTGGTCAGGCTGGAGTGGAGACCTGGAAGTACAAGGCGAAGAACTCGCTCATGTACTATCCTGAGGGTGAGTGGATAGAGCCAAGGAGCAGGGCAGGAAGACAGGGGCCCAGGGGTTTGTCTTGTTACCTTTGAGCCAACTTTTAAAGTCTATGTATGCGTTAGCTTGCAGCATGGACCCGAGCGAAGTCCCGGTCCACCTTGGGGTTGGGGGACATGTGACATTGTGGGCATTGAGGTCTCCCCGAACTGCTTTGTTCAGGTTCTGTGGGTGTGGCGTTTGCCTGGGAGTGACTTAGCTGAGGGAGTGTGCTTTCGCCCCTCAGGCTCCATGACCTCAGGGCTGAGGCGGGGCATGGAGCTTCTCCCCGTGACGCCAGCTACCTTGCTCCTCCTCATAGGCGTCCCTGAGGAAGAACAGCTATTTAAGAAACCTCGGCAGGTCGTACACAAGAACACGCGTTTCCTCCGGGACCCCTTCAGTCAGGCCCTGAGCAGGTCCCAGCTTCAGCAAGCAGCCGCCCTGAATGCTCAGGTGAGTCCGCAGAGCCACCAGGCAACTGGGCACACGCCATGGGCTAACTGGAGATTGGCCTCGCCCCTCTTGCCTGTCCTCTTTAAGTTAGGATTGTCCTGAGGCCAGAGAGAGCTTAATTGGCCAAACTACCACAGCCCCTATGGCAGGACCCATCCCTTTTCCAATGGACCAGACGTATGACCCACGGGTCCAGCCCTGTGTCAGCCGCTATGATGTTGACCTGAGGGGAGAGAAGCTTCTGGAAGCCAACCCAGACCCATAGCTATCTATCAGGCAGGGAGGAGAGTAAAGCAATGTGTACTAGGAAGTGGCAGGGGGAGCCTGGCTGCTTAGGGCTTGGGCTTGGGATCAAGATGAGTCAGTGTCCTCAGGGGGTGGCGCTGGTCATCATGGGCTTGGGGGAAGAGAGGCAGGAGATTGGGAAGATTCAGATGCCTCAAGGGAAGGAGAGCACCGGCCCTTTGTAGCATTGAAACCCAAGAGGCTCCTCCTCCGGTAGAGGAGAGGGGCACCCTTGCTTGGACCACCACAGTCCCTCAAAGTCCTTGAGGAGAGATGAGGATGGGGGTCTCCCTGCTCTTTCCCAAAGGGATGTGCCAGTCCTCGAGCTCCAGCTCTATCCCAGGGAGGAGAAGTGTTTCCTCCATGTCGGCTGCACCTGCCATCGGTCAGCTGTGGAGAACGCCGACACTGGTCTCTCTCTCTCTTCCAGCACAAGCAGGGCAAGGTCGGCCCCGATGGCAAGGAGCTCATTCCGCAGGAGTCCCCCCGAGTGGGCGGCTTCGGGTTTGTTGCTACTCCTTCTCCTGCTCCTGGTAAGAAACGGGCTGTGAGCCCAGGCTGGACAGGGCAGGTACAGGCTAGACTAAGCAGACATGCCTTGAGATGCCCCAGGGTACCGGGTCTTGTTCTGGTCTCCCTGTGATGTGAGTAGGCAGATGTGCCTGCGTCTGTGGTGCTTGTAGATGTAAATTCGGAGAGTTCTGTAGGTGGGGAGGTTCTGGACACCAGGCCTGCAGTCTCTGCGGGGGGGCCTTGCTGCACACTTGCTGCTCTTCTGCCTCACTGCACACTCGGCGCCGGCTGCTGTGATGCAGCAAGGGCCTGTGAAGACACCGTAGGTTTGCACTAGGACTTAGGAAGCCTGGGAAACCCCGACTGTGTTCTTCCCTCGGCACCCCTGGCCCTGTGCTAGGATGGGGTCCGACAGACCCACCTTCTCCAACCTAAGTACAGCTGTCGTGCCGTGGGGCTCTGGTGTCTTTGAAATTTCCCTCCGGATGGTGGGGTGCTAGGCTCTGGAGTTTGGGGGAAGAAGGTTTGCCTGTTGCCTTAATGTCAGCTGGGGTCCATGTGTTAGGAGGAAGACAGCACCCCAACCAGGTCCTCCGCTTGAGGTGTGGGCTCTCCATCTGCAGGTGTGAATGAGTCACCGTTGATGACGTGGGGAGAAGTTGAGAACACTCCCCTGAGAGTCGAAGGGTCAGAGAGCCCCTATGTGGACAGGACGCCAGGACCGACTTTCAAGGTGGGTTGTGGTGAGAGCGGATCGGGCTGGAACTCAGTGTGGCTGCCTTAGTACTACTGCTCAAGGCTGAGCATAGGACCTCTGCGGAAGAGGGGGTTACGGTGGGATTACCAAACGGATTTGGAAGAGTAGAGACCATGCCGAAGCAACAGAGCAGACCTGGAGGCTAGACTGCCCCGTAAGCCTGAAGACTATGTATGGGACATAGTGCGTGTCCCCAGAAGGCTGTGTGCTGGCCTCTGGTTACACAGTAGTAGGGACACTCAGGACAGGACAGGGTGAGCCCAGCATTGTGGGAGTGGGTGGAATGGAGGTCAAGACGTAGAACAGACCAGAAAGACCGAGTCAGATGAGGTCTGGTGTACGTCATGTGTCCTCTGTCTAGTGGAGCAGGAAGCTAGAGGTGGACAGACAGCAGATACAAGTCAGGTAGCTCCTGGTGGTTTGGGTGGATGGGTGGGTAGATATTCCCCTGAGAGCTATGGGGAAAGAAAGGACCGTGTCCTGGGCTTCAGGGAGTTTGTGGATAAAACAGAGGGTCAGTGTAATTTGGAGTGTGAAGAAGGAAAGGTCCCTAATATTGAGTATTCGTGCTCACTATGAGGGTGCTGAGCCCACTGACTCAGGGTATTGAGTAGGTAGGCCAAGAATATGAACCTTCTTTGGAAACCCAACAAGATGAGATGTAGTGATGAATAAATATCTAGGTATGCTTTGGTGGCTGGGTCACAGGTCATCTCAAGCCAGTCCCTCCAATACTGCTGTGGTCAATTTGGAATGTGGTGGACAGCGAGGACGTCCCTCAGCAGTAGAATCGGAGTCACCAGGAATAGCATAGCTTTCATGGGCAAACAGAGCCGTGTTCTGCAGTCCTGACACTGCTTTCCTGACCCAAGTTAGGAGGACCTCCCCGACATGGCACTGCGTCCTCCCCCAGAGCAGTGGAGAGTGTATGTACTGCCTAGACAGATCACGGGTAGAGATCTTGGAGGTCTTGGCTGTAGACTGTCGGGTGGGGATGTGAGATAACCGATGTGAGAGAGGGCAAACAAGCTACTGTTGAACATGCAAGCGTGGCCCAAGGCTCGGACCACACAGCAAGTGGCTGCAGACCTGCAGGGCCCTTCCAGGAGAGAGAGTTCTGAAACAAAACAAGCCCTGGGGGCAGGCTCTGGGGACAGGCCACATGCAGCCTCTGCCTTGTGCTGCCCAAGGGTCGAGCAGGATGGAGAGCTGGGGACAGACAAAGAGTGGAGGGTGTGGAGAAGGTGACGTTTCAGATGGTGGGGGACTGCAGAGCCTTTGAGGATAAGGGAAGCTAGCTTCTGAATGTTGGTAACAGCAAAATAAGTTCCAGAAAAGTGAAAACCTTAAATATAAAACAGTAATTATAAAAACATCTAGAAGATAATGGTGTAGTTTAAACTGTTGTTGTTTGTTTTGTTTTGGTGGGGGCGGGGAGGGATTTAACCCAGGACCTGCTTCCTGTACACACCCTCCACCACTTTAGTATCTGAAGTGCTGGGACTACCTTTTTTGTTTATTTTTGTTCTTTGAGAGAGCGTCTCACTATGTAGCTCAGATTTGCATTGACTGTGTGTTGATCAGGTTGCCCTTGAACTCACGGAGATCCGCCTCTCAAGTGTTGAGACTGAGGGCGGGCACCACCACTCCCAGCTCCCAATACTGTTTTGTGCGACATTTCTCTATTTGTGTGAATGTGTATAAGCATTTGTGTGCATGGCGTGTGACGTAGCACATGTATGGAGGTCAGAGGTCAACCTGCTAGAGTGCTTCCCTCAGTCAGACCAGGTCATCAGGCTTTTAACAGACGCCTTGACCCACTCAGCCATCTTGCTTTTGTCTGTCTGTCGTGTGTTTTAAGACAGCGTCTCACTGTGTAGGCCAGGGTGGCCTCACTTTCTTTCGTCTCCTGCCAAGTGCTGGGGTGCACGAATGCATCATTCCAGCCACGGGGGCGGGGTGGGGGTGGGGGGGCTTTTGACAGGCTATTGAGAAGGATGAGTTGCTGGGATTGTGGAGAAGAGGGTGGTGCCCACGCAGCTGCCCTTCTGGATGATGGACTGCCTGCCATGTAGCAGGTTCATCACAAGTCACCCACATGCCCGCTCCCTTGTAGATCTTGGAGCCAGGACGCAGGGAGCGCCTGGGTCTGAAGATGGCCAATGAAGCGGCTGCCAAAAACCGGGCCAAGAAGCAGGAAGCATTGCGGAGAGTCACCGAGAACTTGGCCAGGTGAGAGGCAGCTGGGTCCTGGGGAGGATGGGGTAGAGGTGAGTTTGTCCGGCTTCACTCCCACTCTCAGCCTCCAAGGCCGTGTGGGCCATGGCTTGCAGGACGGAGCCCAGGCTATATCCACAGGGTTCTTCTGTAAGGGCCGTGCTGTGTGGGGCAGACTGAGCACTCTCCATCTCGCCTCTGTAGTCTCTCTAGGAGGTGCCTTTGGGCTCCTTGCCCAGCTTTGCGCTCCTGTTAACCCCATGGAGTCGTGCCACTCCCACGTCACTCACACTGGACAGAGATGGAGACCCCAGCTCTCACAAGCCCCATCCAGCCCCACATCCTGAGGTAGCAGCTCCACGGTGCCTCAGGGTTGGCCCGACTGCTGTGTCCAGGGTTGTCCTCAGCTCACAGTGACCGTGTCTCTTGATAGCGCTCCTCCTGAGGAACTGAGGGAGGCCTTGCCTTAGCAGCACTTGGCCGCTAACATGCTGGCTTTCTTCTATTCCTTCTCTGCAGCCTTACTCCCAAAGGCCTGAGCCCAGCCATGTCCCCAGCCCTACAGCGCCTCGTCAGCAGGACAGCCAGCAAGTATACAGATCGCGCCTTGCGGGCCAGCTACACACCATCCCCAGCACGCTCTGCCCACCTCAAGACCCCGGCTGGTGGGCCACAGACCCCAACGAGCACACCAGCCCCTGGGTCTGCCACACGCACACCCCTCACACAGGACCCAGCCTCCATCACCGACAACCTGCTGCAGCTCCCTGCCCGGCGCAAAGCTGCAGACTTCTTCTAGAGCCAGGCCTGGCCGGACCTGTGGATGCTCTGTAGGACACTTTGTGGAGCGTGTGGAGCAGCTGTCTACTCTGCAGAGGACTTCAGGCCTTGGGGACCCAGACCACAGGCAGTTGATTATCCCAGGAACCACAAGTGTGTAGTGCCGTGCCGTGGCACGTTCCGCTGACCACTCCCTTGGGAGTGTAGCATTGGTGCTGTCCCCCAAGGCCCTGCTGAAACTGCCTTCTAGTTAACCCCCAACTGAACGCTCATTAAAGAACACCTGGCATTGTCTGGCTGGGCCGCCAATCCATGTCCTGGGGCCGTCCTGGGGCCCACCTGGGTGTCTCAGGACCTCGGCTAGAAGCAAGGGGCTCTGGGGGAGGAAACTGGCACAGAGCAGCCTTCTGTGCTGAGTTCACACTTAGCCTGGCACTGTGAAGGCAGCACAGCCCCCAGAAGTTGTGCCATTGAGCTCACGGGGTTCTGGTCCAGCTCCACAGCCTCCCAGCCAGGCCCAGGTAGGTCCTGCTTATCAGGCTCCCTCCAGGACGAGTCACTCTGCTGTGACTCCAGCTGTTACCTCCTAGCACCTAGTTCCAGCTCGGGTAGGGTTAGGCTGCCTCCCCATCCCACTCTCCGCTTATCCCAGTGTTTTTGGTACTTGCTACTGGGCTCTGCCAAAACACCAGCCTTGCCTCAATCTGGGCTGTATTATGAAAAGAAAGAGTTTGGGTTCCCTGCAAACCTGTAAATGCCATGTGCACCAGCAGCCAGCTGTTTACCTGTGAACTAAGGGTGGCTAGCCCTCAGGTGACCAGTGGCCAACTGGGCCTGTGAGCCTATGCCTTACAGAGGTGAAAGGTCCCTGCTGTCTGGGCCTAACAGAGACCAAAACTATGATCTGATTCCACAGCCAATGGTCTTGAGGCCGCTGGTGGTGTCCCAGGGCTTGCCCTCTGAGCAGCCCAGGCTTGAGCTATTTGGGTAACCTAAAGCACACCTGACTCTTCCCAGCCCAGATACTGCTTTGATTCCATGAAAGCCATCTTTCCAGACTGCTGGCAGTGGTCCTCAGGCCTCTGCACTGGTGTTCTCTGGAGACTCCCTGGGTTGGGTACCTCCTGCTTTGAGCCTTGGACTGAGTGGCATTTGTCAGTTTGACACAGCTAGTCACCTGGGAAGAAGGAACCTCAACTGAAGAATTACCTCTCATCAGACTGACCTGAAGGCATGTCTGTGGGGTAGTTTCTTGATTGCTAATTGATGTAGGAGGGCAGGGCCCAGCAGTGGCATCCCTGGGCCATAGTCCTTGGTTGTGTGAGAGAGCCTAGGAGTAAGCTAGAGAGGGAGCCAGTTCGCAGCGTTCTTCCATGGTCTCTGCTTCAGTTCCCACTTGGGTTCCTGTTCCAGCTTCCCTCAGTGATGGACTGTGACCTGAAAGTGTGCACTGAAATAAACCATTTCCTCTCCTAAGTTATTTTTGGTTCAAGTTTTTATCTTGGCAATAGAAACAAACTAGGTCAGGCCTCTGCTAACCAGAAGTTCCCCACAGTGAGTTCCTGTGCCCTGGGAGCCTCAGGGCTGGAGCTGGGATGGATCCCAGGTTAAGGGCTTTGGTACTTTTGTCTCTTAGGGAAGGTTGAGCTTTAATCCAAGGGATTCCCCCCGTGAGTGGAAAGCGGAGGGTAGGGATGGGTGCTGCCCAGATGCTGACCACCTCAAGCATCTGGCCAGCATGAAGGGATCTTTCGGGAGGGGTGGTAACCAGGAAATGACACTGAGGGATGCTGGGGGTTGCGGCACCGCAGCTCTACAGGTTGGGGAAGACAGCAACAAGCTGTCAGTGGGGTCACCTGGGAATGCTGAGGGTGAGGCTTGAGCAGCACAGCTCGCTAATTTTGATCGCCTCTTCGGGGTTAATGGATGCTGACCTGGGTAAGGACAAGACAGGGCCAGGATAGCTTGTATTGCATTAGATGAGGGAGAAGCATGGAGCTGTCCACGCCTGGAAGCCTTGGGGGTGGGAGAGGGCCAGAGGCTGACAAGTGTGAGCCTGGCAAGAGGACTATGACAGAGGTCCTCTCCACCACAGGCCTCACTGAGTCTGCCTGGGCCTGAGTTCCTGGACCCCTATGCTGGAGATCCCCGCGCTGGATGAGTCCTAGAGAAAAAGACTCCCCACTGGGCACTCTCAATGCTTGTATACACTTTGTGGTTTATTTGGTGGTCAGTATTAATGTCTTTGCTACTAAGTGGAAGAAAGCTAATAGAACGTAATCAAAATAGTGGTTTAATTGACGGATTTTACTAGTTCCTTGCGCCTGTGCCTTCTTCAGCTCCTACCTGCCTATTTAGCTTATGTGAGTGCAAACTGCACACCATGACCCCCCAGGGCCCGCTCCACCACTAGGTACTTGCTTTCCCCACCTCAGCTCCAGAGATGTGATGGTCTTTAGCTCTGGACGTCTCAGCCAGCCTCTCCTCCATCCTGTCTTCATTCTCGGGTGCCACCATCATCCGGTGCTGGGGTTTGGCCCCCAGTTTGTGGTCAGGCCGGTGTTCAGGTCTTGAGCCTGGTCGAGTATCCAACTTGCACTCAGCTCGATACTTGCCCTCCCCCTCCCTCTTGAAGGAAGCAGAAGACATGGCTTTGGGCTTGGGGGGCTGTAGCCATGAGTGGCTGAGGATCTCATCAATGTGTAGCCGCCGGTTGACATCTGGCTGTAGGATGCGGTAGATGAGGTCCTTGCACTCACCAGTCAGGTTCTTGGAGCGTGGGAAGTCCACTCGGTGCTCCTTCTGGATGCGCAGCATCTTTTTGATGTCAGAGTCATCATAGGGCATGGAGCCACAGACCATGATGTAGAGGATCACACCCAGGCTCCAGATGTCATACACCTTGGGCTGGTAGGGGATGCCCTGCAGAACCTCGGGGGCCGCATAAGCCGCTGACCCACAGAAGGTTTTGCTGAGGACGATGCGCCCACTCCCGTCCCGCAGGCAGCGCTTGGAGAAGCCGAAGTCAGACAGCTTGATGTTGAAGTCCTTGTCAAGCAGAAGGTTCTCGCACTTGAGGTCTCGGTGGACAACGTCCAGATCATGGCAGTACTTGACGGCCGAGGAGAGCTGGCGGAACATCTTACGTGCCACGTCCTCATGCAGGGCTCCTCTGCACTTGATGAACTCGAGGAGGTCGCCCTGGACGCCCAGCTCCATGACAATGTAGATGCGCCCATCAGAGGTCTCAAAGATCTCGTAGGTCTTAATGATGGAACGGTGGTTGACGGTCGCCAGGATGTCCATCTCCCTAGGAAGGAATCTCTCCACAAAGTCAGTGGGTGTTTTCTTGCGGTCTATGATCTTGACTGCCACGTTGAACTTGAGGCGCTCAGAGTAGGCAGATTTGACTTTTGCATAGGAGCCCTTGCCCAGATTGATTCCTACGATGTAACCCTTCTTCCTTAGGACCGCGGCATCGTCCATGGTGCCAGGAGCGGCCGATGCCGCCGCCCTCTACATCCCCTCCCGACACGGGCCAGCAGGCATTGTCCTCATTCCCTCTGTGGGGAGGCGTCTGGTTGGGCTGGCCTGGACTTGGAGGAGTGGAACGCTCAGCATTGTCACCAAGTGACCAGCGAATGAAGTCATAAAGCCAGGCTGCTGGGAGTGGGGACCAGGCTGTGGGCAATGGGGCCCCTGCAAGCCAGGAAGGCCTAGAAGGAGCACCCCCTCCCCGCCCACTGGAATGAAGCTGGCATTCAGGCCTGTGGTAACCCTCCCTGGCCCTGTTTCTTGCTGTGGCTTCACTGTCACCAGTGAGGCCCCAAGGGAGGTGATCTAGGTCCATCCCCAAGCCTGTTTCCTTATCAGGCCTTGGGAACTGGTCCTGTGTGTTCCTCATTTCACTAGAGCCGATTCCCTGCCCTTTCTTTGGGGTTTGAAGAAAAGCTCCTGTGAGCTTGTGACCCTGGAATCAATGGAAGCTGCCCAGGTCCAGTCAGTCCAGTGGTGGTCCCAGTCTGCTGGATGAGAGCAGTTCCATGTGTGGAGTCAGGAGCTGGCAAGGGTCTTTGGGCAGAGTGGGCAGATGAGCCACAAACCTGGTGAATGGGTGTGTGTGTGGATGGGAGGGTAGGTAGTGCTAGGGGATGTCCTGAGGGTCCAGGGTAGGCAGGTGCATGTTCAGTGGCGTGGGGCAGGTGTGGAGGACAGATACAAAAGTTGGTAAGATAACCAAGCAAGCAACCACTGAGAATGACTAAGTCAGGAAAGAAGAGAATGTCAGGAGCTGTTCTCTAAATGATGGGCAGGCCCTATACAACCCAGGTCATTTGTCTCATAACGGTTGCTGTTAAAGAAGCCAATTGGCTTTGAGATGCATATGGAGGCCCAGGGCCTTGGACCAGAGCAGGCCTCTGATGGTCTAGGGTGGAGGAGTTGGGAACAGCCAGCCTGGGCCTCTCCTGGGAGGAGGGGACTGTGTTGGGCCTGGTGCTGGATGGCCCAGGGATTGATGGCCCTTAGCATTCTCCATAACAGCAAGCTTCGGAGGGGAGGGGTGGGGCTCAGTGTGCCCCCACCTTGGGTCTGTGAGTGGGGAGCAGGGATTGCATGAAGCACTGCAGCACTGCTCACCGTTTGCATGCCGCTCTGTCTTGTATTTTGTGCATGAATGTTCGTTTTGCAAAAGTGGCATCTTGTATAATCTTGGCTCCTTTAGAAGTCCTGTGTTCATTTTCACATCTCCCAGGAGTCTTACGCTTACAGTGAGCTGCCAAGACGTGATCCAAGGATGCAGTGTTCAGAGGGAAAGCTCTAAGAAGGCCTGTTCCTAGTGGGGGAGGCGGGACAGAGGCTTCCAAGAGGAAGTGACACAACCCAGGTACAGAGGGGCCACCAGGGAGACAAGAGGGAAAAGATGATGTGGGGAACAAGAATACACACAGATGCCACCTTGAAGTCCTGGTCCTAAAGCCCGAGTGCCACTCCAGATGGCTGAGTCAGGTTCAGCAGCCCACATGAAGGGTCCTGCAGGATAAGGTCACGTGAGGAGGACTGGGCTCAGTCACGTGCAAACACTACTCGGGGCGCTGTGCTGCTGTGCTCTGTGGTGGGAACCCACCTTCTCTGAGCTATTTCCACACCTGTAATGCACATAGCAGGAGCTCTTGCATCTCTTCCCTACCCCCACCGTCTCCTACTTAAATGGCAAGTAGCTTCAGGGCTTGTTGGTGTCTTCTGTCCCCCAAATCATAGGAAGACTACAGAGATGAGAGGGGAGGAGCCTACACCTCCCAGGGCACCCTCCACCACCCAGCCCCACATGTCCCAGAGCCTTCGGCCCCATCCAAGTTTCTTCATGGGGCTTCTCCAGTGTCGCTCAGGGTCAGCACTGTGCCTCAACCCTGTCTACTTGGTCCTCACAGGCAAAATTCACAGAGGCGGGCTACAGAGCGTTGCTTGGTCCCAGGAGGCTTTGAAGAAGACGAAGTCCCTTGGCTGAGCCCAGGGACATGGGCATAGTCTTCAGAGGTGAATTGGCAAGTATGCTTATGGCACATGTGTTGGGGTGCAGGGATGAGGGGGTGTGGATGGGCAGATCAGAAGCTAGCATGGAAATCCTTTCTGAGGGTGGTAGGAGGTAACCTAGGTGTAGCTGTGAACACTGGGAGATGACAGATGGAACAGCAGACAGTGAGGTCACGGTAGGCTGGGTGTGGTGTGGGACGCAGGAAGAACAGGAACTCACTGGACCCCAGTTCTCCAGGGTAAATTGGCATTGGTGTCTTCCCAAGGTAGAGAAGAGGTGAGGGCAGGGTTGAGATGAGTCTAAATGTTCTCATTTTTATGCATTAAACCCTTAGACCTCCATGAGTTGCCAAGAGTGAGGTGAAGAAAAAGGGGCCACAACAGCAAGGTGAGGACTGCTTGGGACATGGTGTCCGCAAGGCAAGCGGCACATGGCAGCCAGTGGTGCCAGATGCAGGCCACACCCCTGTGGAATACCAGTGGCTGCCTCCCTTGCCTATAGGGTTCAGACATGCTGCCAGTTTTGCTTTGCCAAGGTCAGCTTCCAGCTCTGACTGAGGAGCTCTTCCATCTCCTCTGGAACTGATTGAGATTGGGAGAGAATGGGATGCAGCCGAAGCTATACAGGGCTGTGGGACATTCTTGGGGTAACTAGTGGAGCCCCCTACTTCTGGGCTGAGAAATGGTGGCGTGGAGCAACTAAGGGCATAGTTGAGAACTGGGTGCCAGCTGGACATGGAGGGACATGTGCCTTGATGGGCAGAGCTGAAACACCAGCTGCCAAGCAATTTGGGGAGCCCAAAAGGTACTATGGGGGTCGACCTGCCTTCCGTAGTCTTCCCCCGGCCCCCACAGGCAGGTTTGTGCAGCCAGAAGCCCTGGGGTAGTGGTGAATCGCCTGCCTAGACCCTGAGCTCCTTCCTGAGCAGCAGGTGCAAGCTCTCCGGTGCCAGAGAGGGCCCTGGCTCCCGGCCCTTCCTCCACAGGCAGCCCTGTCCATCTCTGCACTGCTCGGCTCCCCTCCAGAAGTTGTGTCTTCCTCACTTAGTTATCCTCCCTGGCCTCTCTCTGCCCCTCTTAAATCCTCCCAACCAGCCTCTGTCTGCTGCTGCTAACTCAACCATGGCCTGAGGATACAGTCTGGGCTGGGGGGGGCGGTGTGGGAATGGATTTCCTTATGAATGAGGAAGCCAAGGGGAGCCCAGGACCAGGGTCTGCACCAATATAGTGATTTATTGCTTCTTTAGCCATGTTGAGTTACCAAGTTCAAAGGCGGGAGAAGAAAGTGACGAAAATAGCAGCTCATCCGGGACTGTCTTCCTTCTCTCTCTCGTCCCTTGACTTCTAGGCTCAGGCTTCAAGCCATGAGCTCTGCCTCATTCCCTGCTGGCCCCCTGGGCTGCAAGAGGCTCACTAGGTATGTGTCTCTGGAGGCTGTTGGGGGTGCCCTTCCTCTGTCTCCCTGTTCAGTTCAGTGTTAAGGCCCAGGGTCTCTGACTGCTTGGCCACTTGCACAACATCTTCCTGGAGTTTTGTCTCAGGTTGGGCCTCGGGCCGTGCCTCTTCCCTAGGCTCCAACTTGGTGGCAGACTTCTTATCGGCACCAGTGGGTTCAGGGGTCCATGGGGGCTCAGTGGCCCGGGAGCTTTCTCCCTCTTTGTTGATGGCTGCAGAGGACAGACCTCGTGCCTTGGGCTGCACCCAGCAGTGGCTGAGGATCTCATCAATGTGCAGCCGCCGGTTGACATCTGGCTGTAACATTCGGTAGATGAGGTCCTTGCACTCACCAGTCAGGTGTTTGGAGCGTGGAAAGTTGACGCGGTGCTCTTTCTGGATGCGTAGCATCTTTTTGATGTTGGAGTCGTCATAGGGCATGGAGCCACAGACCATGATGTAGAGGATCACACCCAGGCTCCAGATGTCATACACCTTGGGCTGGTAGGGGATGCCCTGCAGAACCTCGGGGGCCGCATAAGCCGCTGACCCACAGAAGGTCTTGCTTAATGTCAGTCGACCACTATCGTCCCGCAGGCAGCGCTTGGAGAAGCCGAAGTCAGACAGCTTGATGTTGAAGTCCTTGTCAAGCAGAAGGTTCTCGCACTTGAGGTCTCGGTGGACAACGTCCAGATCATGGCAGTACTTGATGGCCGAGGAGAGCTGGTGGAATTTCTTACGAGCATCGTCCTCTTGCAGGGCTCCCCTGGTCTTGATGAACTCGAGGAGGTCGCCCTGGACCCCAAGCTCCATGACAATGTAGACCTTGCCATCTGATGTCTCAAAGATCTCATAGGTCTTGACAATGGAGCGGTGGTTTAGCATGGCCAGGATCTCAATCTCCCGAGGAAGGAATTTCTCCAGGAAGTCCGTGGGGGCTTTCTTGCGATCGATGATCTTGACCGCCACGTTGAACTTTAGGCGCTCAGAGTAAGCGGATTTGACTTTGGCATATGAGCCCTCTCCCAAGTTTATCCCCATGATGTAGCCTCGTCGCTTGAGGACGGCAGCGTCATCCATGGTGCCGGGAGTGCCCAGTGCCTCTGAGGCTGCCCTCTACATCCCTGCCAGACATGGGCCAGCAGCGTCCTCATTTACACTGTGGACAGAGAGTCCTCTGAGCTGGCCAGGCCCGCTGTCCCTGCCTCCTAAGAGGCCAAGAGTCTAGCATGGAACATTCAGCACTGTCTCCGGGGGTGACTTCAGTGGGTGAAGTCACAAAGGAGTAGTGCCCTGGGGGAAATGAGGCTATTACCTGAGCCACTTGGACTTGGAACCTAGAAGGTCTGCCAGTGTACTGGAGCAGACTAAAAGTGAACAAAATGGCTTCACGTTTGGCTCCACCTCAGGTAAGAGAGGCTTATGGGACACAAAGGTCTGCCCATGTTTCTAAACCTAAAAACTGAACTGCTGTATAGCGGCATGGCTCACTGCTGCAAACCAGGTCAGTTCAGGGGATCCAGGGTGGGTGGTCCTATCAGCCAAGGGTTCCAGCAGGAAACAGAAGATAGACTCAATTAAGGATGATCAGAAGGAATCTCGATAAAGGGGTGCATCACAAAGGTGGGAGCAAAATGTAGGGAACCCTGTAGGTAATGCAGTTCCCTAAGGCAGGGGAAGGGAATGGAGAGGGCCACCCCTCCGCAGGCCAGTGATAAGGAAGCCATTCGTGACCCCCACCCCTCAGCTCTTGATCCTGTCTCCACAGGCAACCCTCAGTGGCACAGAGCAGGGCTGAGAAGGGTGAGGGTTCATCTTTACTCAGGCCCTTTGCCTCCTCTGGCTAACTCTGTGTTTCACTGTGGGGTTCAGCTGGACTTTTCACTTCTTGTGCTGCTCTTTTCTCACCCTAACCTCTCCTGGTCTCCTAACAGTGGTGCTGCAGGTGGCCACTTGGCAGGGATTCTGCACTTGACTGTGAGTTCCCTCCTAAGGACCTGCCCAGCTCATGGCTGGCTGGGCTCCCGGGCAGATTTGGAGTGGGGGTTGGTGTAGGGGCAGAAGGCTGGACCTGGATCTTGTACTGAGTGCTGGGAATGTGCCACCAGGACTGTGCAAGTCCCAAGGGCAGTGCTGGATAGGTATCTTTGCCTCTGCCAGCAAGGGCTCTCCCTCTGTTGTGACAAGACCTGTGTCCAACATCTGCCCTGGGGCCAGGACCTATGGAAGTTGGAATATCTGATGGTTTGACCTAGTCTTGGGTTTGAACTTGCCTTTATCCACCTCTAAGGAGTTAGCGTCTGTCACTCACATGGCTCCAGGTATTACAGATTGGAATCCTGGGACTCGGTGGAGGGCACTAAAGTGAGTTAGGTACACGCCCTTCCCCAGAGCTGGGCCTGTACACAGGTGGTGGTCCTTCCCCCGGAGCAGACTGCTTTACCATCTGCGGTCTCTCACTTTCATGCTGTTCATGAGGGGAGGTGTGAGGTCAGCACGTGGAGCCCTGTTTCCAGACTTTAGCCTCGTCTCTGCCTGGCCTTTCTCCTTCATGGTATAGGTAGGACCTCCCCGAGATCTGGTCCAGAGGATCTGGGCTTGTCTGTTATTCTCTCTGACATCCCTCAGGCCATTTGCTCCTCTGTTGAAACCGTTTTGTGTTCCTTCCCCATTCTCAGAGCCTGCCAGCCCTCTAGATTTCTTCATTTTTATCACAGAGGTTCGGCCTTTAGAAGACTGCTTTAGAGTGTATGTTGGGCACTGGGACAGACCTGGGCTGCCAGGAGTGAAGATCATTCAGGTCCTACGCTGCCTCCTCAATTCTCTAATCCCAGGTTCCCACTCTTACCCCCTCCAGACCCGGGTCCCGTACACTGCTGGTCCTCGTGATCCTAACCAGCACTAGGGACCCCTTTGGCCACCTCGCCGCCAAGGCTCAGTCCCCCGAGCCCCGCCTCTCGGCTCAGCCAATGGCACGCCTCATTTCCTATCGGCCCGCCCCCAGACCCCGCCCACTGCCGCCCAGCCCCTTGGCCTGGCCTCTTTCCGGCCCTCCTGCTCAGGCCCCGCCCCTCGTCCGGAGCGTGCCCGTCCGGCCTTCCCTCCGCCCCCCCAGCGCCCGGCTCGGCGTTCATTGGCTAGTGCGGGCTGGGGGCGGGGTCGCGCGGGCCCGAGCAGGACGGCCGCCATCTTGCGCGAGCCGGAATCGCGTCCCGCTGCTGCGGCCTGGAGTGCGCGCGAGTCGGCGGCGTCCCCGTGCAGCTGCCCCGCGTCGCCGCGGCCCAGCCGGACCCCTCGCCCGCCACCTCTCTGTCCCCGGCCGGAGTCCGGCTTCACGCCCTCCTCCGGGCCAGGTCCGGCCTCCCCGCGGGGTCACGCCGCTGCCCCGGGGACGATGAACGGAGGATAAATGGTGCCCAAGGCAGACAGCGGCGCCTTCCTGCTGCTCTTCCTGCTGGTTCTCACCGTCACCGAGCCGCTGCGGCCAGGTGCGCGGCGCCGGGGGTGGGGGCGCGGCCGGGGG